AACGCTCCGATTCTTTTGAATGGGTCGATTTCCGGTGTTTTCGCATAGTTACAGCATTCGCTTCTAGGTGCTTGCAATCTCTCCCGCCGCGAAATGCTCAGTTGGGTCACGGGTCATTTTAAACCTAACTTCGAGCTACTGGCTGCACTGAGGCAACGTACAACGGAAAGCAGACACTGTTGTGAAAAGCTCAGCCAAATCTTACAGTCGTGCAAGGTAAGGAGAATTTACAAGCGGACCGCGAAGTTGCCACTTTCTCAAGGGCACCCTCTTCCCACAGAGACCCGTCCTTCCTCTCTTCGGTGGGTGGGGCGCCAGCTGACATCATACAGCAGACTGCTGCTGTTGGACAATAACCGGCATAAACCGTCAACGCTGTTTGTATCTGATGCGCTTCATTCCGCGAGGTACCGCCACCTGTTGGCACAGCGCTCGACATTGTTTTAAAATTGCACAGCAGCAACACTAGCGCGCACCAGAATTACAGTGTATAGTAATATTTCTAGGCACTATACCAGAATCCCAACGGGAGAGAGCCAGCCATTTCCCTCACGACGCGTGCTCAAGTTGATGACGCGCGTTGACGTCGCTTCTTTCGTCCGTCGTGTCATCCCTTCCTGTGTAGCTTTCAGCGCACTCGTCGGGACGATACGAGGCAGAGAGAAAGCGCGCGAAAAATCGAATCCCTGCAACTCCGCTCACTCTCGGCGCATTGGAAATTTTTTGTGTTAGTCTATTCGTGAGGCAATAGATACCGACACTGAAGTCATTATTCAGTAATTACACGGAAAAGCGATTCGCAAACCATTCAAATACGCCAACGCGTCCTTGCCGACAAATCGAGAACTATTCGTCAGATTGATTTACATCCGCTATATTATAGGTCAGGAAACATGGGTCAGGAAACAACGGGGGTTAAGGATATTATAGTTGAAATCAAGAAGAAATGGACATGTGCAGGGAGCGAAGCACGTAGGCAGGATAACCTCTGTTCATTAAGGGTAACTGACTGGATTCCCAGAGAAGGCAAACGGCTTAGGGGGAGACAGAAAATTAGGTGGGCAGATGTGATCAAGAAGTCTGTAGGTATCGCGAGGCAGCAGAAAGCACAGGACTGGGTTGAGTGGCGGAACATGGGACAGACCTTTGTCTTGCAGTGGGCGTATAGTCAGGCTTATGATAGAAGTTGGAACTGCTGAAATCAACACTTCATTTGCTGGGTATCCTGTAATGGCCGCTTGCGTCATACACTTCACTAGTTTTAGCACAGTGGACGTTTTGAAGCGGGAAAATCAAACAAGAAGACGAAGAAGATGCCGGCGCCGTCTTACGTTGACGGCACGGACATGTTTCGAAACCCGTTGGTAACCAAATGATGTGCTCATAACCCTGCCCTTCCCGCACCTTCAATTTGTGCATTTAAGCTGAATATCCCTATTTCGACGAAGACAATGATGCTACTGTGAGAGCATTCCAGCTTTTTTCATCATTTTTGTTTTAACCAGGCATTCATGCACCTGCGCTGTCAATGGGGTCATATGCCTTGATGCCATAGGTAGAGGCAAACTCGCTCATGAGTCAACTCACTCAGATCGAGCAGTGAGTGAATTCGGGTGAGTAATATTTTCCTGAGTCTGAGTGAGTCCGGTTGAAGAAAATTTTCGTTCGTGAGAGTCCAAGTGAGTTCGGCTCTGGAAAATTTTGGCGAGTCTGAAGTCGAGTGAGTTCAAAGCGCAAAATGCATTTTTGAGTGAGTATTGAGTTACCCTGTCTCCTGCCGACCTAAGGTACTATCTAGTCGCACTACCATCAGCCTTACCTGGATTCACGTTTATACTCCCGTGTACTCACAGGTATTCCAAAGCAGTGTCATTCATACACCGTTTCCATAACTATAATTAGAGGTGTTAATTACGTAGCCGGATGCCTTCATCTCCCCTCACCATCTCTTCCAGGGAATTGCTTGATTATTATACCTTATCCTGTCATCTCTTCCGAGGATTATGACATTATATACTAGTTTCGAAGCCCTCAGAACTCGTTTTCGAAGATACTTTGTCGAACGGCACCAAGAAGAGAACAGATTACGTGAGATATTGGTGTTAAAAAGCATAGACCCCATGGCCCAAGAAGCTAATTCTAGGCTGACGGACATATGAGTCGACGCACTCGGACACACTCAGATCAAGCCGTGAGTCAGTGAATAAGTAATGTTTTGGTGAGCTTGAGTCCGAGTGAGTACTAAGCTCAAAATATAGTTCATGAGTGAGTCTGAGTGAGCTCTACAAGTTTTGCCGACCTATATTGATGCACAATAAAGACAACAAAGAAGCAAACGCTGCGCAAACTGCTGGTCAGACAATGTTACGAGACCCCTTGTATTGTGATGTACAACACATTTCTACTTTTCCTGCGTACTCAGTTGTACCCGTGACAATATACGTTAGCATCTGTTTACTCATTTCGCTATTGCGCACGGAACCGCAAGAGTGGTGTCTCCTCTGAAACACTAAACTGTATACTATTTACCCAAGAAAAATGAGCCGAGAATTCGACTGCACAGTTCCACTTTCCCCTCCGACTAGTTTTGCTCACTTCTACTAAATGATCTACAGGGTCCCTCAATCGTGAGTCAGACGTACTCGTACGCACTGCTGTGATCAGAACGAACAGCTAAAAAAAATCAATGTTAAAATGTAAAAAATCAAGTAAAGTAAAATCAACAAAACCCTATAAGTTGCGACCGCGTCTAAATTTGGTAGGCTAAACGTGCAGGCAGTTCAAGGCCCACTCACTGCACAACCGTAACAAAACGCCAATAACGTTATTCTTTACTACCGGTCCACAAAGTTGTCCTTTGGAACGGTTTAGGATTTATAAGTAGAGCATTTGTAACCTAATTATGAAAACAGCGCATAACCAACAGGCAAACGAAAGCTACTGATGAGTGCTGTACTAGGTGCATGTACGCATTTTAGAAGATCTCTGAGCCGCAAATAAAAAAAAAACTATCTTAAAGTTACAAGTGACTGTTTATAGAACACAGCATGCATGTTGACAACACATCTCAGATCACAATATGTGAATTTCGCAAGAACCAAGCCCTACGATGAGTAAGGTACTAAATCGGGTTGTGTGTGTTGAAGCGTTGACACGGCAAAGGAGGTTTGAAATAGTGTTTTTTTTTTCTTGCGCTAGATAGCGCTGTGTGAACGCACAGGCGATCAGGCACAGTATTTTTAAGTCACATATGCACAAACAAGGTTTTTTTCAAAAGACTTTTAGTCCGAAATGTTGTTATGTTAACAATTTTAGTGCGTAATATTTGTACTGAGTCGTGAACGCTGATAGTACCTATAGTGGCTGATCGTTGCAAGCGGTGTATCTGTTCTACAATCAGATAAGTCAAGCTGCCGGTGCTGAAGTACATAGAGTTACATTTTACCAAACGCCGACGTAATAATATATTATCACACAGCTCTGCCGGTGAAACGCTTTACAGTGTTATGACGAGTAGGCTCCTGGCCTGCTGCGCGCCAGAAGCGCTGTCGTTCTACTTTAGAATTCTTCTTGTGAACGTTACTTCGTGTTCAGAATAACAGCGAAGTCACGCGAAATGCAGCCCTTGCAGACCGGCCTCCAAGCCCGTCTTAACGGCCCCGACGCCCTTGAAATGCACGCACACACAGAGACAAACACGACGTACACCCTCACGATTCATGTAGCTCGCAAACCGCCCATAGCCAAGTGGCAAAAAGGTGAGCAGAGGAAAACTCTTATCTGCGCTCTCGTTTCAGCGGTACCACTGTGCGCTGAGGGAACTAAAGGCGGCGGCAGTTTGTAGCGCAATTAAAGTTGCCTACCCCCAATGCTTAACCCGCCGTTCTCCTGGCTCGGCTGATTCATCTCTACAATTCCCCCGCGCTTCTGCGGACGGCTGCGCGAGGTGAAGCTCCGCGAGTGAACTTGCTCGCCGTCCGAACTTCAAAATACGAAGACAAGCTGAAAAGTCGTAAACGATCGCGATCGAAAGTTTTCACTAGTTCTAAACCATCCAGTATCAAAGATCCTACTGATGCGCAAACAATACAAACGTTACAAGTCTAGAGCGCCTGCCGAAAGGCAAAGCGGCGTTTTCTTTCGCATTTGATCGACGTGACGAGCGGTGTTGCGCGGCCCCAGACGCTATCGAGCGTGGAATGTTACGCTGCAGTTACTCATCGCTGGCCGGCAATAGCTCCGACTGTCGCTGTGCAGAAAGTACTAGACTAAAAAGAAAGTGACCCCCTAGAACGACCCTATATCAGCGCTATCTAGCTTGCGCGCACTTTCTGAACATTCTTTTCGGGTCTGTTCACAGTGCGACAGCGAATCGGGCTTTTCCCAACGCCCTGTGACCGTTGCCGATTTAGCATTTATCTTCGGTTACGGAAGTTGTGCAACTACATAACGGGGCTATTTGAGAGGAGAGTCGCTGAATGAATCAACGCCTGTCCACGACTTTCGTGCCCTGGACCGGCTCCGCAATCGGCAGACTTTTCACTTAATGAAACAAAACGAGAAACAAGGCGGTTTTGAAACAGTGAAAGTAAGTGATCTCAATGGTAATTGAACATTGGCAGACACACAGCTCCTACGCACGCACGTGACTCTCGCTTTGGGGGCAACTGCACGCAGCTGGCCCCACACGGCGTATAAGCACCCCCAGAGCGACTGTCATCTAGCTGCTCACCACCCTCCTATGGAGAAGGGTCCGAAGGCGCAAGCAACGCCCATGCACTGGACTGGATCACCGAGTTCCCGAGAAGGAAGTCGGCGTTCACAGCTGTTCGCGTAAAAGCACAACACCAGTACAGCTACGAACCACCTCACTGAAGAAATTCGCGCTGCGCTGTCGCTGGGAGATGCGAAGCATCATCCAAGGAGCGCGCAATCAGAAGCCGCTGATGTCGGAGGAAACCAAAACTTCCAAGCAGCGGGCGCCGGCTGCGAAAACTTACCTGACCGCTGAAGGCCGCCGGTGAGTTGTCGGCCACATCGTAGATGACGGGGGGAAGTCCCAGTCCAGATCCACCAAAAACTGAGATTCCAAATCCGAACGATTCACTTCTCTTTAGCTGGACACTCCGCAACTCTCGGTCGTCCATTATCCAGAGCCATGTGCCTATGCTGCCCCCGCAAGGCAGATGTCTGAATCTGCTGCCGCCAAAAGCCGGAGCTGAAAACAGCGCTTGCGACTGCCGCGCACCTATACTTGTGTTCGTTTTATTCGCATATTTTGTCATTATACTATTAAACAAACTACACGTTTACAAAAATTATCAACATATGTTTTACGTTGTTATATGTACATATTGCAAGGTTAGTGGTATTTTTTTGCCAAACCTTACAACCTTAGCAACGCTATTGCTATCATTAGCGAGTAGTTGTCACGGCAACCAGAAAAGCTTTAAAATGGACGCTCTTAATATGGCCATTCGCGGTGAGAAACGAGTCATTTCGATAATTTAGCCTGCTTTGGGCTGTTGCCACGTAAATTATTTCATTGGTTATAAATATGTATTCAATTAAAGCTCTGCGTTTTATCAGAATTGCTCGCAGTTGCTCCGGATCGGCACACACGGTGACACCGCTTGAGTATGTGTCGATTTCGTTTGTCGGCAGTGTGGTGAACGTTGTGTTCTTTCAGGTTACACGCATCGAGAACGGCCGAGATAATCGACGGGAAGACCATTGCTCGTGAAATTGAAAGTGAAATTCGAGTGGCGATTGATGAAACTTCTTCTAGAGTTGGTCGGAGGCCTCATTTGACCGCTGTCTTGGTTGGCGACAACGAAGGAAGTTCAGTCTATGTGAAGAACAAGATCCAAGCTGCAAAGAGAACAGGTGCGTCATTCTCTGTTACGATCGCTATCACATTTGGAATTTGCATTTTACTGAACCGGAAACTCGCGGGTACCTAAACATCCCAGAAAAAAAAATGCAAGAATTCAGAAACGGAATGCTGTAACGCCATTCATATTGCTGAAAATTGATTTCATTCGCATGGTCTTCCCTCCCTCACAAAAAACGATCCCCGGAAATTCTAGCAAACGATTGCTCTTCCATACACACGTGACAGCATATAATCATTAGACAGTTGTGGGCACAAGAGAACTGCTCAAATGTACCTAAGAACTACGTCATGGCTGTATTCACTTTTTAGTAAAGACCACTCTATTATGCCACTTCCTTCTGCAGTAAACTGTCAATACATGACGCCTACACTCATTACATGTGAAGGAGTTTTATCGTTGAATAACCATCTTAAATCATGAAGTAGTTCTGGCATAGGACGGCGTTAAGTAACAAATTCTGAAAAACACTGTCAGATGTTTCGGCACCATTTTGTCCTTACCAACAGATCATATACTCGATGATTGGAAGGTGAAAATAATAATTCCTGTTTTTAAAACTGGAGATAAATACCGTCACCAAGACCAATATCGCTAACAAGTGTCCCTTGAAAAATGTGCAAACTTATCACTGCTTCTAGTACTGATCAATTTTTATAAAATAATAATTTTTTTTTCAAATCAACATAGTTTCAGAAAAGGGCTTTTATACCAGGCACAGCTCATTGTATTTACTCACGAACTTCATCAGAATAATGACAACAGCTTTCAGAATGATTGCACATTCATTGACTTTTCCAAAGCCTTTGATCTCATAACCCACACCCGCTTCATAACTAAGCTATTATCTTTCCACCGAGATTCATTAGCAAAAGTGTGGGTTAGAAATTTCTCATCATCTTGCAAGCATTGTGCAGTATACATAGTGCTCATGTGATGTCACTTCCGTCGTCGTCGCCCTCTCCTGCAATGCTTGGGTACCTCGCTGGGTACCTACGGCAGTTCGCATGCTGCACCGCGGTTTGTTAGGGGCTTGTCATCTGTTGCTGTGTAACATGTTTAAAAGGAAGCATTGTGGTTTTCTGGTTGTACTTTAACGAGCTCACTTGTTCACTCGATACAAGACCAGAAAATCAAGATGTGCGACACGTATACCCGCCACCGCGTACACCGGCTGCCCACCACGACCTACGAAGGCCCATCATCTCCCTTTATTCATTTATTTTTTGGTACTGCAATTCCCTGGAGGGATTTTAGCAGATGAATACAGAAGACGTTAACATCAGCATATACATAGTGTGCACGTGCGTCACGCAGCACCCCTTCGTCACTTCCGAAATGCGCCACCGACATGCTCGGGTTCCTGCCGACTCCGTCGCCTACCGCTGCCGTGTCGTCTCCTCGTGCTTGCACTCATTTAGTTTTGCCTCACGATACAAGTTTGAGGGCTGCTAGTGAGGCAAGTTCATTTAGTAGTCCCCGAAGAGGGAGCAGAGCTTCGGGGTGTTTCTTTGCCGAAAGTTACTACCCAAAATTAAGAACGCTAATTGCGATTTTTCGAAAAGTATCGGCATGTTTGGCTGGCGTGGATTAACAAAAAAACTACTTGAAGAAACTCGGTGATATTTGCATCTTCAGGTGTAACTTCATTCCGGGTAAGTGCCATAACCAAGCACTTACCTGCAAACAGAGATAGCTTGCCAAGATACTGTACATACAAACTTGTACGCGACTACTGCGTGCACAATCTTCGTGTCAGGGAGGTGGTTAAAACCATGATTGTGATGGTGATCGCGGAAATTCGAGTATTGCATTGAAACAAATTGTAAAAAATGGATGCGAAACAATATTAGTTCACATTGAAGTATAGCCGATCGGTTCGAGTTGGGGGTCAGGATATTTAAAAATTGGTCATTTAATTCTCTAACACGGTCTGCATCATTTTAAGGGACTCCCCTGTACATTAGCGTAAAAAAAAAATAGAATAAAGGTGACAAAGATGTCAAAACATATGCGAAAAAAAAATTATGACCGACATTACCACGGCACGCACCCCACGAAGTCTCTATCTGTTTCGCATAATATTTTCCTCGACTTTTTCCACAGATTTCAATCAAATAGGCTCCAAATCAGCACTGTTTAAAACACTTGGGTGCGGGGGGGGGGGGGGGGATGCTGCTACTTTGGTAGCGTGGGCGGCAGCAATATGCTAATATTAATATTATATCTCTTGTAAACTTGCCTAGCTGTGCACGACTCGCTTTCGATGGGAGCTGCTGCGCTTCGCTCATCCACTCTTAAAATTGCGGCTCGAGAGACTTTGGGCTTTCACTTGTTCTTGGGCCACGCAATTTGTGGTGTTTGTAGTGAAAGCCTCCCAGGTTGTGGCGAGCAGCCGGTGTACGCGGTGGCTCGTATCCGTGATGCACATCTTGATTTTCTGGTCTTGTATCGAGTAAACAAATGAGGCCTTCCTGATCCGATGAGCTCATTAAAGTATGACAACAAAAAACCACAATGCTTCCCTTTCAACATTGTACATCAACAAATAACGAGCCCCCCACAAACCGTGCTACAGCACGCAAACTGCCATAGGTACCCAAGCATGGCGGGAGAGGGCAACAACAGCGGAAGTGACATCACATGAATACTATGTATAACACTAGGCAAACAGATGGAACAGCCTATCGCATTTCACATAGTAGGCAGCCATATAACACAAAGCAAAGCTTTCACTACAAATCGCCTGGCCCAAGAACAAGTGAAAGACCAAAGTCTCTCGAGCCGCAATTCAAAGAGTAGATGAGCGAAGCGCAGCAGCTCCCATCGAAAATGAGTCGTGCAGGGCTAGGCAAGTTTACAAGAGTTGTAACATTAATATATTGCTGCGGCCCGCGCCACCAAAGTAGCAGCACCTCTCCCCTTCCCAGTGTTTTAAACAGTGCTTATGTTGAGCCTCTTTGATTAAAATTTCTGGAAACAGCCGAGGAAAGTATTACGTGAGGCAGATAGAGACTTCGCACGGTGGGTGCCGCGGTAATGCCGGTCATCACTTTTTTTTCGTGCATGTTTTGACATATTTTTCATCTTGTATTTTACTTTTGTGGTATGCTAATGTACAGTACAGTCCCTGAAAATAGTGGGGACTGTGTTAGGAAATTAATTGACCAATTTCTGAAAATCTTGACCCCCCAACTCGTACCGATCAGCTATACTTCAAAGTAAATCAATATTGTTTCGCATTCATTTTCGCAGTTTGTTTCATTGCAATACCCGAATTTCTGCGATTGCCATCATGATTTTAAAGGGGCCCTGTGACACTTTTTGAACAGCCTTATTTAGCACCAGAACACGCGTAGCGATGATTACTGAGACGAATGCAACAAGAATGATGGAAATTGGTGCACGGACAGTGAAGTTATGAGTCCCCGATGTTCAAAACTCGAGTAGATGAGGAGAAGCGTTCTCTTTCGCATTCACTCGCCTGCTGACCTAAAAGACCGCTTCTAGTCACAGTGCACGTCTCATAATGACGATCTGGAAATGTCACTTCATGGTGGTCTTCACACAATACCTCACTACCGCCCTTTTCGATGGCGTCGTTAGCATGGTTACTATGAACCACGTGCGTCGAGTAGAACCTTAGAAGAGGCTCCCATGGTCACTGTGTAAAATACGCACATACACTTTGGGCAGGTTTACTTCTCAGCTTGCATGCCAAACTCGTTCTATGTCAACGCCGGCGCTCACCGCCCGTCGCATTGTTGGCTCGCTAAAAACGCGGCATGCCTTTCCATGTTTAGTTGCTTGCTGGCGTACCATAGCCTCGTTTGCAGGGTGTGTTGTGTTCGTTGTTTTCCAAATACATCATTTCGAAACAGGAATGATTTCTTTCTGAGAAAGTATAAAAAAGGTTTTTGGTACTTTTAGCATTCACTCGTATGACCTAGCTACCACCATATGTATATAGCACGCTATTTTTCGCGTCCAGCCAATCAAAAATGAACGGTGTTTGTCATCACATCACATGACATTCCGTCACTTCCCATAACAAGAATATCCGATGTGTGTCGCCGCAGTCTGAAACCAAGGTAGTTTGTCCCATGAATTAAAATTATAACAGCATTGATTTCGGCGTTGCCATTTGCTCAACAATATCGGCGCGTTCCAGAGCACCTGAAGAACCGATAAAGAATGCATGCTCAAATAGTGTCGCAGGGCCCCTTTAACCGCCTCCCTGACATGCTGATTGTGCACGCAGTGGTCGGGGACAAGTTTGTATGTGCATTATCTTGGTAAGCTATTTCTGTTTGCAGGCAAGTGCTTGAGTGCTTAGCTATGGCTTTTACCCGTAATGAAGTTACATCTGAAGACGCAAATATCATCGAGTTTCTTCAAGTAGTTTTTGTTAATCCGTGCGAGCCAAACAGGCTGGTACTTTTTGGAAAATCGCAATGTGCGTTCGCAATTTTAGGTAACAACTTTCAGCGAAGAAACACCCTGAAGCTCTGTTCCCTCTTCGTGGACTACTAAATCAACTTGCCTCACCAGCAGCTCATAATTCTTCAAACTTGCATTGTGAGGCAAAACTAAAGGGGCGCAAGCATGAGGACACAACATGGCAGCAGTAGGTGACGGAGTCGGTAGGTACCCGGGCATGTCGGTGGCGCATTTCGGAAGTGACAAATGGGCGCCACGCGTGAACGCATGTGCACACTATGTATAGGCAACCATTCTCTAGAGCTGAGTGATGTCTCATCAGGAGTCATACAGGAAAGTGTTTTAAACCTTTTGTTCCTTTCCATCATCATAAATGACCTACTTGACAAAATTGTATCTAACGTCAGCTTTTCACACATGATTGCATGCTTTAGTGTAAAATATCCTCTAATACTGACCACTGAACCTTGCCAAAGCACCATCTGGAGCTCTGCCACGGGGTCTAGTGGCCAAGGTACTCTGCTACTTGAATCCATCGGCTGTGGCATCGAATCCCGGCTGTGGCAACTGCATTTTCGATAGAGGCGAAAATGCTGTAGGCCCGTGTTCTCAGATTTTGGTGCATGTTAAAGAACCTCAGGTGGTCCAAATTTCCGGAGCCCTCTTCTACGGCGTATGGTGGTTTGTGGTGGTTTTGGGACGTTAAACCCCACATATCTATCTATCTAAGCACCATCTGGACATTTCATAACTTGCTTAGCAACAGTATTGTAATCAAAACATCTAGTACAAATACTTAGGTGTTCATCTGACACCATACTTATCTAGGTTTAGCCACACTCAAAAAATAATAGTGAAGGCATTGCGTTCAATTCAATACTTATAAAATCACGAGCAAGTGCCCTCCTTGCCCCCTACAACAAAGGATTATCTGACAAGATTCAAAGGGGGGGTCCTTGCTTTATCATTGATCAAAATTAATGATGGTGGTGGATCGACAGATGGTGGAACTTTATTTATAGTCCTGAAAAATCCTACTAGTGTGCAGAGCTACTAAAGATAAAGAATGCACACCTGTGCTGCAAATGAAATACTTTATTAAATACACATGCATTCTCTGTTTTCACTTGCTCTCGTCGTTCACCTTTGTTGGGTGGAAAAGCACAGCGAATGAAACAGTCAAAATTGTGGGAGGGGAGAAGGAACATATATTTGAAGCCTCCCAATTAGGGGGGGGGGGGCTTGCTCAATATTTCACAATAAAACGAAATCTTCGGGGTGCACGATCAAATACCTATAGCCTATATATAATTTGTTTGTCCACAACTCAAATTTGCACTATTCCCACCGTTGCTTCGGCAAGCATACCTGATTCATTCCCTCGAACGTTTGGCATTTAAATAAGAGGCATTTAAATTAAAACTTAAAATCATGTTTTCATAGCTTTTTCCTTGGTCTCGGTGCTTTTTACTTCTGCATTGCTAAGACCAGACTTGGTGTATGACGATGTTTCGATGTGTGCTTGCTCTTGTTTGTTCAGTTTGTATGGCCTACTCGAGTTTGGTTTTTTTTCAGCAGCTGCAATTTTATTGTGCATTTTCTTTGTGTTTTTTTGCCTAATCAATATTGATATAAAATGTTTGGTATGTTAAATAAATTTTTATTTTCCATTCACTTTGCACAACTTATCTATCTATGGGTTCACTAACACAAGCTCAATGCTGGTTGAATGTTGATGTGTAACCTCCCTCACATAATGTTGCAAGTGGAACCTGTGGTGTACTATCAGTGTCAAATGAAACCCGAACAGCGGCAAGCCTTCACTAGGCTATAGTGCGCGCCGTCTACTTATCACTACGAGCAGGCATGCATATATGGAGAAAACTCCTGAAGAGGATGCACGCGCTTGTTTATCGTGATAACTGGACAGCAAGCACTACACTATCACAAGAGCTTGTCGCTGTTTGGGTTTCATTTGATGCTGATAATACATGAATAAATAAATAAGAAATTTGCTAGAAACCTGTATACTTAGATTTAGGTGCACGTGGAAGAACCCCAAGTGTTCACAATTTCCTGAGCGCTTCACTACGATGTCCCCATAATCATATCGGGGTTTTGGTATGCGAAAACCCAGCATTTACTATGGGCTCGTCAAACGTGAAAATTTATCAGCGTCCCGCATGAGTGATGTGAAAAGGCACCCACATGAGTGATGTGAAAAATCATCGTCACGCGATTGTGTTACCCTGCGATGCCATCATGGTGTCCCAGATTGCCAAAATTTGATGTCCTCACTCACATTACATAGTCATGTCACTTCATCAAAGGTGGCCCAATCGTGGAAGCAGTGCAAAACAAGGTTATGTGCAGAAAAGCTTCCAACACCTCTGATTCTGGAGGCAGTGCAAGAACTTGCACAATCACGGTGGGTGTGGGAATTTTTCAGTGGGTGGCAGGGCAGGATCAATACCTCGACCGAGAGGAAGGACAAATTGGCTTTCATCTTCGCGTCATCTTAGGTGAATGCATTAAGGAGTCTCTAATTGCTTTCGTTATCAGGACTGTCACTGTTATGCATCGTAGTCGCAGGTTTACAGAAATGGCACAAGTATACCCTTCCGGCACTTACAAGATTGTCCTCTTCCACTTCAAGGGCTAGCGTTGGTACCACTGCTTCTTTTCAAATTACATAAACCTCCTGATTTTTATGATTACCCTGAGAATTCTGTATTTCCTGTTTGCTTCATTTCACTTTGGCTTTATTCTCACATTTTCTTGGGGGTTGCATCCACAAATTTTTCCTTCATTGATATATACACGTAGGTATCTTTAAGACTTGATTTTATGAATGGCATGCTGTTGGATCAATGTCATTTTAGTCCTCTTTTCTTCATTAAAAACCACACTTCTTGATTTCCTATAACTCCCTTGTATTGTTTGCTGGTACACCATGTGTCAGCTCATCATCTTTGCAGTTATCCAGGGAAGAACTTGCATTTTTCAGGGTTGATTTCAGACAACTCTTTATATTGGTGCATGATTACTTGAAAATTTCAAATAACGAATCGAATAGTTATCAATTAAACTGGATGTTTGAATTAAAAAGTGCATGTTCAGGACACCAAATATTTTTTGAATATTTTTTTAATAATCAGCAATGACAAAAGATGCTCGAAGGAACAAAATGTTAGAGCACTGAGGGGTAACTTTTCTTCCTTTCCTCATCGAACTACCCAGGTGTATGCAGCCTATGTACTTATGAGGCTATCGATGCTATATTGATCACAGCATGAAACCAAAGTGAGGGTAATCGATCACTCTCTTCACGATGACATTCATGGTCGTCATAGCTCATGAACATTGCTCAGTTTTTATGTAGCAGTTTTATTTAAAAGTTGTTGACGAAGTGACACCTTTATTACTGTAGTCACACCTATGTTGCAGCTTGGGGTGACAAAATATTTTAAAGATTCTAGCTTCTACTGTATGCGAGCTTGCCTCTGTTTAAATAATTGTGATATATCTTTGTAGGTCCGAAGTAATCATAATATTTTTTTGTTAAATTTTGTGAATATTTGTTTTCAATAAGATGGTGTAGAATTTTCGGGCTATCTTGAAATTCAGCTTACAAGTCTAGTGCTGCTTTGAAAACAGTTGCCTTACTATTCGAAAAACTATTTGAACAATGTTCAATTTCTAGTCGTTTTGATTCAGTATCATCATTATTCAATTTGATTCATTTCTAAAATTCACTATTCACTCACACCTGTTATTTAATCTTGGCTTTCTGATATGTGCTCTTGCTATCAATTCATTCATCTTTATAGGTTCGTACGGCTTCAAATAAACATTTGTTGAACCTTATTATCTGTGTTGACCTATCTCCTCTGTCCATTCCTCAGTGTAGTCAAAAGACAAAGAGGCCAAGAAAAGTATAGGGGACATTAGGTGCGGTCTTTTAATTGTATTTAAGAATTATGACATAAATGTAAAGAAATTAAAGTAGACAAAGAGACAACTTGCCACCATCAGGCTGCCTTTTCGTGTGCAACTTTTTTGCCATTTATATCGTATTTATTTTGTTACTGATAAAAAACCCCTAATATTCTCTTTACTTTCCTTGGCTCCATTGTCTGTAGGTTTTACTAAAGCAACAAAAAATGAGCCCTTGACTTCTTCTTTCGTTAATTCATAGCAAGGGTATCATTCTAGTATACTTTATGCCTTCTGGTATAATGTGAGGGCTTATTGGTCAGCTTCCACTCGTAAAAAGTATCATCTGCAACTTGACATCACCTGGCAGAAAAGTGTGTTCCACACTCACCATCATGACTATGAGCTGCCCTGACTTACACTGCCAGGTTTACATGCACAGTATAACTATCAGTTAAAGCGCACGAAAAACAGACATGAAGAGAGGACAAGTGCTTGTCCTCTCTTCATGTCTGTTTTTCGTGCGCTTTAACTGATAGTTATACCATGCATATCCAACTAGCCCAACTTTCGATTCTGTTACATGCACAGAAATACCTAATAAAGTGGACGGGAAAATGACTGCCACCACAACTAAATTGGTAAGGCAATTGGATGCGCAATATGAGAGGATTTCAGGTTTGGTCCCTTTTGGTGGCAAGTTGTTTTTTCATACATTTTAATTTTGTCACATTTATGTCATAATTACTGTATTACAGTTGGAACTCAAGTAACATCCCCTAAGCCTTCCTTGGCTTTATTTACTGTTGAGTTTTGTCAAGATTGTCTTTGAAAAGAAATTACCTCTTAATTTTTTTCCCTCCTTTTTTGCAGTGTTGCATTTGCTCTGTCATTGTGTACCAACCAGCCCAAGCTGTTCACCTGTACCCTGGGAGCTACAGCATAGTCAAATACATTTCCTTATTTTAGCTTTCATCATTTTATCTAGAATGAATCACTAATAATTACTACTGCAATGGGGCTGTGTTGTGGCTTATAATAAATGCAACTATACATTCGGTAATGTATCAACTTGATAAAAATAAATTTGGCTCAAATACAAATGCTACTTTCAAATTATGCTCTTTAACCAGCTTTGTGTTTCACAAGTCACATTGCACTTAGTGCACGTTTCAATGTGGTTTGAGATTTCTTGGTAAAATACAGCATAAAAGCACATGCAGGCAATGCTTCATTGTCTTTCCTATTTTTTCTATCCAGGAATTGGAGCTGATTGCATACACCTTCCTTCTTCAACTACACAAGAAGTACTGCTTGATATTGTTCAGAGACTGAATAATTCTGACACTGTGGACGGCATTCTTGTCCAACTACCCCTTCCATCTCACATCGAAGAAAGTGTTATATGTAATGCAGTACTACCATCCAAGGATGTGGATGGTTTCCATGCTGTTCAGATGGGGCGACTGTGCCTAAACATGGCTTCCCTTGCTCCTTGTACTCCACTGGCTATAGTTGAGATACTTCAACGCATTGGTAAACATTTGTAAACATTGAAATATATGTTTGTTGCAGCATATTAGTGAGCATTTTTTAGTTCACAATGTATTAGAAAGTGAGCAAACTTTAGTTTCTTTGCTCCTACATCAAAATTTTTCCCCTATTGAATGACTGACATCATTGCTTTGGGAAGAAGTACACCATAAACAAAAGTGCAATTATCTAATTGATTTTTCTATATTGTTTAAATAGATACTTGTAGCATTATAATGTCTACTTTGGATTAGTCATTGAGTTAACAATAGTGATTGAGAAGTTTGTTTTTGCTATTGTACAAACAAGTTCGTTTACTCTGTAGTTTCAAGTATAAAGGCTGAAATATATGCACATGTAATACTGATAAAAGCACTGTAACAAAGGGGAAAAAGATATTTCAAATCAGTACTGTTCATAATGCACTGTAGCTTGCATATAAAATGTCATTTTTCAAAATTTTCCTGCCCCTCTTTTTGTGCATAAACAATACTGTTTGAAATTGTAATTTTGTTGCCATAATAGTGCTTCAGATTGACACTTTTTTTTATTAAAATTTATCTGGGAACATTATGTGTCTTACCACATTTACTGACCTGAACAGCAGTAATCTTTTTTTTATGCAATACCTTCTGACCTGAATTATGGAGTGCCAGTTTGTTAGGAAGAAATATTCCTGATGTCTTCTATTTTCCAACTTGAATAGAGTGTCTTATTTGCGGCTTATTTGAAAGAGTTTGTTACTGAGAAAACAACCACATCATAGCCTTAGTTAGTAATATATGTATGCCCCATATTTAAATTGCCTAACTGAAGAAGGAAGAAGGCACCACAGGGGACCATATCCTACATAATATTCCATTTCCTTGCTTCAACTGGTGGAATTCAACAGCAAATAAAAGTTCATATAAGAATAACTTCAAGGAATATTATGAAAGTCAATCACGAAAATTTGACCTCAAGCCACCTTTTGAATTGAGTGTGAACATTTGACAGAAGTCTGTCTGGTTGGGTATGAAACTGGGAGATGATTTAGACTCCAACCAAAAGTCACCCCTGAGGAAAGAACCAGGTCAGTTTCGAAATGTCGGGTCTCTTCAAAACTTTTAGTTGGCGTCTAAATTATCTCCCTACCTTTTGAATTGCAATGACTACATTAATATTGCTATGTAGCTGACATATCAAAGATCACACATTCTGCGTACAGAAGATGACAATGAAAAGTGCGGGTCTGTCCACTAAGCGTGCTGGCCTCCATCTTGGTAAATGCTTTATGAATCGGCGTAAATACAACTTTTAAATAGCCATGCCTCAGGTCATTTTTACGTAACATCTTTGTGGTGAAGGTGTGGTGTATCCATCCCCATACTTCTTGCAATATCATCTTTGAAGGTATATGTTGGACTCTACTGAAAAGGACAACTAATCTGAGGAGTTATAACCAATGAACCTTCCCTCCTCGTGTGCCCCTGTTAGGGTTTTTAATACAGTGACATTGACATGTCAATATTCAAAGTTGTGTTAATGTTAGCTATCTAGTAATGTGCTTTATTTGATATATTTTTTGCAAATCTGTGCGAATAGCGAAATTTTGAGTGCAAAGCAAATTTGAATATTGAAGTGTGAGTGCAATTCAAATACCATATTTTTCAGTATTAGTCAAATATTTCTAGAATATTTTTTGAGTACTTTGAATGAAAATTGTAAAAAAAAAAGTTGGAGAGGCTTCCTAAGCATATTCTTACAAGATAGCAATGTGAAAGTGTTTTTGCTCGGTTGATTATGTGCTGGTGACGTGGTGTTTTATAGTTATCTTATCAAGAATGACACAATGCACAAGCTGAATTGTGCTTATGTATATGATCTGGTGCAATCGAAGTGTTGCCGTCAACACTTTACTCGCGAAAGGCAAAGATGCTATTACCTCTGTCTCCCCTGTTCTCTCAACATTTGTGGAAGCCAAACTGATTTGGCCGACAAAGGTGTGCTTCCTACAAGTGCCGAATCTGCCTTGTAGACGTTGATATATAAGAACAACTGAAATTTTGGATGCTAATCTCTGGCGTTTGATTTTTTGGACTTTCTGCCCGAATTTCAGGTCTAAAACAGCATTAACTGAACCCCCAACTTTGCCACATCTAACATCTTCATGTTGGAACCAGCGTTTTCTTCAGTTAATATATTTGCGACTGAAGCAGAGCCTGAACGACAGCTTTGCTGCAATGCAAGAATGTAGTGAGCTGAAGCGTATAAAAAAAATATGATGGGGTTATTTTTAGTTTGACTTTGACTGTACGTGTCATTAGGAAGTTTGAATAGTAAAATTTTAGCATGAATTGAATAGCAAATACTATTCAAAAAGTGTTCAAAATTTTGAATATTCGTACACCCCTAATATTTTGCTAATGATGCCCCCCCCCCCCCCCCTTTCTTTTTGCAGGCATGAGCACTTATGGGAAGCATGTTCTAGTTTGTGGGCGTTCAACAATAGTCGGACTACCGCTTTCCATCATGCTTGGCTCATCAAGGGACTATGGTAAATCCCTAACTTTAATGACCACAGCACATGTACAGTACTCGTGGATTGAAACAGGACACTCGGAGCTTGTGGCAAATGGTACATGTGCTGCCGCTCGTGGGTGCACGTGGAATCAATGTGTTGCATTATGGTATGGAGCGAGGGGGAAAACACCTACGGACACAGATTACTCCTTCCAGTCGCCAAAATGTCGGCCTGTAGTTCACCATGTGTACACTACCAGGGTGGTGCTGCAAGGCTTATGCACATTCGCATGTCGACCAAACTGGCTCGCTGCTGTGCACCATTTTATTGCCGCGCCATATTACAACCCTCTCGTTCTGCGTGCTTAGGCGATATGGTATGCATGCTGTGCAAGTAAGAAACAGGATTCAGTTAGGAGATTGCGCATTGCGTGCGTTCTTAGACATGATAAGCATTTGCACTAAGGCATAGAAAGTTTACTTCATAATTTCTGCCTCGACAAAAAAGAAAATGAGTGGCATGCTTGCCTTCATGCAACATGGACATAATATCGTGTGTTCATGTTGTTAGGGAAAACTGTGGCCTATTGTTGAATAAAAATGCAAAAAGCTCGCTCGTTCTTCTGTGGCCGACAGCTCTACAAATGCTTGCTACGCAGTATAGCTGCACTATTCGCTGCTCGAAGACGAACAACAAAATACTAAGTAATTTTTTCGATGCTGCACGGAAACAGGTCTGTGGCTGCTGCTTTTCTTTTTCGTCATGACAAAAATCTTTACAAACTTTATCTGCTTTTGCACAGCTATTTATCATGTCTACGAGCGCATTTCAGGCGCAACATCTTAGCAGTATCCAGTTTCTTACTTGCAAAGCCTACGTGTCTCATTGTCGAAGGGCGCCGATCAAGAACGTCATCTGCTTGCGCCACAATATAAATGATTCACACTGTCCACTCAATTTGAACTGCATGCATGTAAAAGCGCGCGAGCCTTGCTGCGTCACGCTGGCAGTGTGCACTTTGTCAACTAAATGCCAACTCTTTAGTGACCGAAGGAGTAAGCCTGCTTCATTGCTGTTCTCGCCCTCACTCTATACCACAATGCAACATCCTGGTTCCACGAGCACCCACGAGCGGCAGCACATGCACCGGCGGCCACGTGCTACGAGTGTCGTCCTCTTTCAATATGTGAGCACTGTACATCTGATATATTATGTTGACTTTCTGGTGACTTTGTCAAAGCTGCATATATGCAGCTTCATTACAAATGTCACTATGCCAGGTAGCACCAGTGCTTTGTATCTGCCTAGTTTCCTTATCCGCCACCTTAATATAAGTGCACTTACGTTAGCTGCATCTTGTTTGAACATGAGCACGCTATAAATTTGGTACTAATATGTGAAGGTTAGCGGTGCTTGAATACCATGAAAATATCCTAATCAACCAAACACAAATCCTGGAGGAAAATGACTTTTGACTGTTACATGAAATACTGAACATTTTTTTTGTTTATAAACGCAGAAATAGGCAAAGGTAATGTCAATCCCTTTACTAAAAAATACTTTTTCACATTATATGATGTGTTTAGTTACGTTAAAAGTTATAGATATGAATGAATGAAGAGATAGTATGTGTTTGCATTCAGATAACTTGTGGTTTCTCACCCATGAAATGGAGCTTTCTCACTACTCAGCATTCACCCGTAAACAGTACATCCACCATATGAGAGCTTAATTTCGTTTCCGAGCAACATGCCTACTTTTCTACATATTCTACATAATGTGTCTGCTGTCCCCTTCACATAGTAATAAGGCTCACTGGACACTGGCCCAGACACATATCACATACGCTGCCTTTCAGCTCCATAGCACGCAGCCAGAGTAGCAGCACAATTACATAGCATTAGTCCCATAAACTTTATCCATACTCTGTACAGTAATGAATAGCACCATGGGTCTTTGCACAAATATACTCATATAGTCACTTTATGGCTGTGATTGTTCTTAACTGCTGTAGTTTTTATTTTAAGTGGTGAACAATTCAACTCGTCAGAACAAAAGCCAACACTGGGCGTTTGTAAGGAAAATTTTGAGGGACTAAGTTCGTCACGCTTGTTATGCATGCCGTGTGAAGAGAAATGGAGACTGAGAGATGATGCAATAAAAACACACACATCGTTTATGACAGAACATAGAAAGAAAGCTAAAATAAAGCTACATCAACACTAAAACTAAGCTAAATAAGAAAACAACTAATATGAGTCCTGTAAGGAAAGTAAGAAAAATTCACGGTGGGGTGGAAGGCACGACAGACGCTGAGGTGCAGGTTCTGCCCATAGAAAATTAGGGTTACTAAGGCACACCCTCAAAAGCTCTCCCCCTAAAACTAAACTCCTCGCTTTTAACACAATAGTCCGGCCTTGTTTAGAGTATGGGTCTGAAGTCTGGGATCCGCACACTAAAAAAGATATTAATAATCTTGAGAAAGTCCAAAGATTAGCTGTTCGGTTTATTTACAATCGCTTCCGCTAGTCTGACTCCCCGACAGGACTAATAATTAATAACAATATTCCAACTTTGGAATCACAAAGGAAACTAGCTAGACTTAAATTTCTTTTTCACCTGTTTAAGAAAAACACTATCATAGACCTTTTGCACGTCCTCACTCCGTTATCTTCACGTCCTACTAGAGGATACCGTTCTTACAAGTTCACACCTGCCTTTGCGCGCACTAGCAACTTCAAGTACTCTTTTTTCCCTCGCACAATAACAGACTGGAACGAGTTGCCGCACCATACTTTTGAGTCTGCAAATGTACCGAAATCTCTAGAAAATTACTTTGAAGTGTGAGTTATGTAACCCGTGAATATATTGTACACCTGTATGATTTAATTTTTCTTTCGTTGCTGTTGTTTTCTTTGTTTTTTCTTCTTTCTCAACACCTGTACATCTATCAATTAGTCATATAATTATTGTACCACCTCCCACTCCTGCTTGGGCCATTTTTATGGCCTGCAGTACTTTATAAATAAATAAATAAGTGGCGAAAGATGCTGTGGAATCTGACTCACGTCTTGATGTGGGACACTGTGGTGATGATGATGCTTGACGGTGTGGATTCGACTACGAATGCAGTCTACCCACATTGGAGACACGATGCTCCATGCAGGGATCGGCCAGCCCATCCAGCGAACAGCTTGCATCAAGATGTGATGCTTGGCGCAACCGTGACCATTATCCAGGCCACGTCCGTTGTTGTGCTGGACGGCTGATCGCGGGGACACCTTGCCATGATTTGTTATGCCCTCGGCAAGGAACAGAACAGCAGGCCAGGCTGTGCCCCAAGATGCAGTACTCGTGCCACCATTGCCGCCTCAGCTGGTGATTGGACGGCAGCAGCACGGACGGCCGCATTCCGTGGCTGGAACGTGGACTGCTGATGTCCGATGCTTCGGCCCACTGTCTTCTGACTGTCATTGCCTTGGCTCTTCCCTAGCCATGAAGCTTTTCACCACGTAATCCAAGAAGCTTTGTTCCTGGGAACTAGCCGAAGCAGTGGCAGACAGAAGACAGCGAGCTGAAGCGTTGGATGCCTGCAATACACGTTCCAGCCACAGATTGTGTTCGTCCGTGCTGCTGCCGTCCAACCACCAGCTGAGGTAGCATTGCTGGCATTAGTACTGCATCTTAGGGCACGGCTTGGCCTGCTGTTTTGTTCCTTGCCAAGGGCATTATAGATCTTGGCAAGGCGTCTCTGCCGTCAGCCGTCCAGCACAGTGACAAACATGGCCTGGCTAGTGGGCACGGTTGCGCCGAGCCTCGCGTCTCCAATGCGGGTTGACTGCTCTGTAATCGGACCCACGCTACAAGCACCATCATCGCCACAGCGTCGCACTTCGAGATGTGGGCCATCCCACAGCATCTTTCGCCACCTACCAGCCTGCACCTCAGTGTCTACATGCCTTCCGCCACACTGTGAGGTTTTCGGACTTTCCTTACAGAATTCATATTAGTTGTTTTGTCAATTAGTCAGTGTTCATGTACCTTTATTTTAGCTTTCTTTCCGTGTTCTTTCATAAACACATTTATGACAGAACCTTTTTCAACACATTTTGAAACACGTTGACAGAAGGTGTGCGTTTTTAAAACGTCGTTTCAGAGTCCATTTCTCCTCGCACGGCATGCAAAACAAGCTTGATGAACTTCGCTCTCTCATAATTTTCTCGCAGCATTGCACTGGTATTGTGAGACCTATCATATACTGTATTTACTCGCATATTTTGCGCCCTCGCATAATTTGCACACCTCTAATATAATGTAAGTTTTACAGAAAAAAAAATATTTACTCGCATATTTCGCACTCCCTGACCTGCCTGAGCTAGCTTGCCAGTGCGTGGATGAAAAATTTGGACCTTCGGATTGTTTGGATGGGTGCGCCGGGCACGCGCCCCACCAGTCAGGTGAGTGCAGTCAAACGAGCTGCGATTATGAAGTCCCTTCTTCCGATAATTTTCCCCAAACTAGGGTTACTAGAATACTGTACCCAAACGCACAAACCTATTGATGGGTCTAGGCTGACGGGTCGTCGGAACTGCTCGAGTGTTCTCCCAATTCTTTCCTCCATAGATTTCCCTCCTCTATCTCTCCATCTCTACCACCGTGAGCATGCCTGCTCATGTCACGGCACGGATAACATTTGGCTCCGGAGGCGTGCGAGGGCCTATCGCGCCAACTGTTCCTCTCGCTCTGCATTCATAGTTCAACACATGCTTTGTTAATTTTGTAAGTTTAGGTTTTGCCATCCATCCACCGCAATCTTACTCTTCTCTTGCGATGGGCTACAGTAATTATACATACAACAAAATTCAAGCTCACTGTTATAAATATTACTGAATAAAATAGTAATCATGCCACCACCAAGCACTTCGATGTGAAGTTCTTCAACTTGTGATGATCGGTACAGAAGAAAGCAGAAAAGTCTGCGCTTGCTAACACAAGTTTCCTGCCCGTTGCCTCAGTTATGTGCGAACGCTTAG